GAGAGAGAGAGAGAGAGAGATAGAGAGAGAGGGGGGGGAGAACGGTAGGGCAATAAAAGCTGAAAATAAGATAAAAATTAATGCTGTTAGGCAGCAGTGGAAAAGAAAGATTAAAACAAAACCTATACATAGTTGCCTACATGTTAGCGAAAGGGATCATAGTCAACTGAACCGATACTTGTTTGTTCCCTCTCTTTTTAGGGTGTCATATGCCTATGTTCAGCGCTTTGTTTTCTTTTTTTTCTGCACCAGTTGTCACTACCGATCATTACATAAAACCCTACAGGCCTCACAACATAGAGACAGTTATTACGATTTCCTGGCTTGACGCCGTTAAGCTTTTGATGTCGATAACCCCCCTAGGGGAACCAGCAGCCTCGCCTGCCAACTGTTACATAAACACGTTGATTGCTCTCGTATTATGATATAAGCACACCAGTGATTGCTCTGGGCCTGAAAATATATAATGTGTAACAACACAAAAGGAGAAGTGTGAGGTGTGTCTGTTCGATTTGCACTGTTACCAGAGCGGAAAATCCACTCATCAATACTGAAGTGACAGTTCAGTTAATTTTGACCAAAAACTCGTTTCTCCGTTTGCACTCTTCACTTCAAAGGATCACGGCTCACAATCATTTCACGCTGCCCTGGATGACTGTTTGAATGTAAAGTATTGTTAAAACATGCTCGCTCTTTGATTCTCATTAATTTAAGAACCAAACATGACTTTGTTCGATTTGTAGAGTAAGTTTGTGTGTTACCTATTTCTCCTCTTGTTCCGTTAACCTAACAAATATATATGGTTGTGTTTGTGCACCTGTGTCTGTGTGTGTGCATGTGTGTGTTTGTGTGTGTGTGTGTTTGTGTTTGTGTGTGTGTGTGTGTGTGTGTGTGTGTGTGTGTGTATGTGTGAGTGCGCGCGCGCACGCATGTGTGTATGTGTGTGTTACCAAAACATAGCTTCTACACTAACACTATGTAGAGTTGCAATGTTGGTATCAGAAGCTGTTTCAATAAAAGGATTTAAAAAATGAGAGTGAGGAGGTCAAGGAGGGGTGAGGCGCCATAGAGAAAAAAAGGGGAAAACAAGACGATGAGGAAATGGAAGATGAGAAGAGCCTCATTATCGGCAAAAGCTTGAGTAGATACAGCGACAACACTGACTCGACGAAGCAGGGGGATTTCAGTGGAAATATGAGAACATAAAACAGCAGCGACCATCCAGGCTTATAGCTTGATAACAAGAGCAGCATTACAATGAGCACGAGCAAAGTGAAAGTAAAATTTCTACCATAAATCAACTTCTTCAACACAACATAGCACCTGGAGGAGCAACTGCAGCAACTCTACATGATGAACAGTCAGCTGTCAAAATTTAGTTCTATTATTGCAGCACGGTTACTCTTTGTTAACGCTTATTTGCCGAGCGGTCATTCCTTTTATACAGCCAATTTTGTTATAACATTTTTCTGCTTCACGAACTTTCCTATAAAGCCATTCCTATCTAATCTTTGTTTTTGTTTAAAATAAATACCAAACAGAGAGAATGAATGATCCACCCAATAAACATTCAACTGATTTTAGATCAGATGTATTTGCTGGGGTTTCGTTGTTTTGTTTTTTGTCATGGCTGTAAATAACAAATCCATGCGGGGCGCCAGCTAAACTGGCTCGCTGTGTACTAAGAATTAAGTTATGCAAGACTTCCACTCCTGACAAAGACCTGCTGTTCACTTATTTCTATACAAGAAACATAACTTTGCAAAACGTTTAATAATAAACGATTTCCTTATTTACGTGTTTTGGCGCTTGATCTTCGTGAGAAGAGTAGGAATCAAGCATTAATTTCAAGACTATTGAAAGAATACTTCCCTTAAGTGTCTTCTAACACAACAGCCAAAGAGCCAAGATGGTTTGATTTTTTTTTTACATTATTGTACATTTTTCAAGTCCTCATCGACGAAAAGCTCTCATCAACACAATTTGAGTCATTTAGAAAATAATCTTTTTTGTCTGTCGTAGCCAGCACGGGCTAAATTGAATTCAGCATGCTTGCAGAAATAAAGCTCAAAGCAGTAGACTTCCAAAATTTATACGGAAATCGAGCTTCTATATTTCTGTTCATGGACAGTTGAAAAGCCTAATAATTATATCACAGACTCCGGTGAGGTGCCATAATATATAACACACCCGTCCCCAATTTTATTTAAAATCATGTTGGCCAGTGTACTGTCATGACCGTATTTGACTTGGCATCGTGGAACTGAGTTTGAGCAAGAGCGACAAAAAATGCCCCTTCCCCCTCCCCCCTCACACACACACACACATCTCCTTTTTTTCCTCCCTTTTTCCCTTTCTGAAAAAAGTACCCGACCCTCCCCCCTCAGGGGCACACAAAATTTGTCAATGAATCCATACATTGCACTTCGATGTTTAGAGCGCGGGGCCCTTTGGGAAAACGTGATGTATGCATTGTAGGTTAACGGGAGGGCTTTCCCTTAATTTATTTTTAGTTGATTTTTTGGTAAATTTTGAACAGATGCTGATAGTAGAATTCTGAATGGTTTAAAACAAAAACAAGAGCAGCAAAAAAGAACAACCAAAAATAACTTTGTGACTTGTCACGAAAGTTCATTTGTCTTAAAGGATCATGTGATTTGGAAAAGACAATCTGGCCTTGAAATTTTGAAAACATTGCTTACATCATTTTAGCTTACAACTGTAAAAGTTACAACGAAATTAGGAATTATTGTACGCTCCTCTTGCCCTGGTCACTGCCGCAGACACACTCCGTACCAGACCCTAAAGCAATGTTGGCGTGTGGTTAAGTGACTTTTCCTGGAAGAAGTCTGCCGATTGAGCAGCATTCACGTGATGAGGACATTATGACTCATCCGAGCTACAGCAACTCGAAACCCAATTATCCTTCAACGTTCATGTTTGGGCTGCTTCGCCATGCTGATCCAAGAATCACATCTATCTTTGTGCTCAAGATTTG